TTATTTTTTTCCATGTATTAAGTATATAAGTTTTAAATGGTAGAGTAATACAAATGACAAATAAGTTAGTAGGTGTCACCTAGTTGTGATTTATTCATTCAATGATATATAGTTTATTATTTTTATTTTTTATCTATTTTGACTTTAATTTTGATTCAAAAATATAATTTACACAAATATTAAGTTACAAAAATATTCATTATTTGTAAATAAAGATGTATATAAAAAATCCCGCAAATAGACCCGCCCAACAAGCTCGCCCATAGGCCCGCCCAATAGGATCACGGGTTGGGTTGCGGGTAACCTATCCCTACCCAAAGTCCGGCCCGGTCCGGCCCGATAACTCACTTGGATAAGGGCTTGGGCTTACACTACCCAAGTTCGGCTCAAAAAAAATTTCACTGACCTGACTCGGCCCATGGATACCTCTAGTGCAAAGTCTATATGATCTTACTATTTAATTAATATTTAATATATTATTATTATTATTATTATTATTATTATTATTATTATTGTGGCTGCTTAGCACCCGCCCACAGTTATTTCGAAATTCCACTTGACTCCCCCGCCGGGCTACCTCAGTCTATTGCAACCCATGGTCAAAACATTTTTGGGGAGAAAAAATGGTGAAATATTTTCTTTTTTTAATTAAAACGAACAGAAATAGAAAATAAAAAGACAAAAGACAAAAGACAAAAGATAACGGTAAAACATGACACCTTTTAATCAAGCTGTGTCACAAAGCATACATCTTGGTTTATAAATAAGATTGGAGTGCTTTGTTCTTTGTCCAAAATTATCTTTGCTTGGATGTCTTCGGGTTTGACTTTAACACCCAAGGTTATCATTTTTTCAGTAAAATGTAATGCATAGGGTTAAATTACAACAAGAAAGTAACCTAAAATCTTAGGATTGATCCAACAAAATATGAATATTAGGTCAAGTTACAATAATTTTAGAACAAGTTAAAATGTTTGATAGTGTTTAGGATAAATTCTTGCATTTTAAGATTGATCCTAAAATATTGCGATCGATTTTACACATTCCAAAAAATTAGACTCCAAAAAATTTGAAATTTAGCCTACAAAAATAATATTTTGTATTTGGGTACCACAAAAAATACTTTTTGATGTCATACATTTATTTATTTATTTTTCTCTTTTTGGGAGGGGGAAAAGGGAAAAGGACTTGAATTCTAGATCTCAAGAAAGAAAAATCTTTACAAGACAATGACTACCATTTATGCTTGCCTTTATTTATGCATTCTAAGATTGAATCACATTTTCGGGCTGGCTGGACAGAACCAGAAATTAGTTTAAAGATGGAAACTTTTAACAGTAACTAATTAATGACCTTTGGCTTCTACAAAGATGACTATAATTTTATGTATGTTAATAAAATAGTACACATAACAATTCTAAACTCTATTAAAATTTAAACCATCCATAAAAAAGATTTCATAAATATGAAACATCAAAAAAAATTATAAATGCAAAAAAAATTGTCATTACTAAATAAATTACATTTTACCAAATGGTCTATTGAAATCAACCACTAATTACAATTGAGTCACACACGTATAGAGATATAATAAATAAAATATATTTCCAATTGAGCATCAATTTGAAGAATTGAATAGGAATTAAAAATAAATAAATAAGAATTGAAGAAATAAGAGTAAACGTCGCTCTAGAATTCAATTGAAACAAGTTAATCATCAATCTTATAAAATTAAAAATCAATCGAAGGTCATATTACAAACAATTTAAAATTGAATTGTGATCTTAAAATCAAAGAATTAGCAAATAAACAAATCAAAGTCAATTTTAAGGGTGGACACAATTTATTTATATCTAAAAACTAGTCATAATCTGTGCCTGAAGACACAACAAAATATAAAATTCGAGCATCTAAAAAATCGATCTCATTATATTAATTTTTTTAAAAATATATTAATTACAAATTAATCAAATATTAAATGATTAAATATATGATAGAAATGAGTGATATAATATTTTTAGGGAATAAATATATAAATGATTAAATATATGATAGAAATAAGTGATGCGATTTGACGTTTGAGTCTGACAAATAGATGATAGATGAGATAAGTGATTGATGATGATTTTAAAGAAAAAATATGACTGAGATAAAAATTAAACACACTCATATTTTATTATATAGATATAACTAAATAATTTATATTTCTTTAAAAAGTAACATATGTGGAAAACATTGTTTTTCATTTTTACCCTCCAACAATGTCATTATATCCTTCGTATCCATCATATTAAATGGCAGACAAACCCTAGGTACCTCTCTCCCATTCTCTCCTTTTTCAACCGTGTCTCTTTCTCTCCCTTGTGTCTTTTCAATTCTCACCCGTCTTTTGCCTCTCTCTCTCTCCTTTTCCCAACCATTGCTCTCTCTCTTCAAAAATTGCCCAGCACCTCAACGGAAACCATCCATTTCCATTAGTTACTCTCTCCCTCTCCCTCTCCCTCTCCCCTATGAACTGACAAATCGTCCATTAACAACCCTCTGTTCACCTTCTCCATCTGAGCTCTTCAGTTCTCCACTGCCTCGTATCGTCCCGAATAACCCTATTACGACTACGATTTTCTCTCATTAATTTTCAAACAAAAATCTCCATAGTTGTTAATACCCTGCAATTTTAACATTTCACTATCAAAATCGATCCTTTCGGAATCAACTATTGTATTTATCCTTTACACAAGAACGCAAAGATTTCAGTTTTTTCGTCGGAAGTCACAAACAAATACATATATATATATATATATATACATTGAGAGAGAGAGAGAGAGAGAGAGAGAGAGAGAGGGGAGGGATACCCGACAAATTCTTGGCCACGTTGAGACTAGGGGACTCAAATGATTACATATCTCCGTCACAGGGTTGCGTTGTTTCTCTTGAGGCTAGTTCCACAAGGCAAGACAAATCACAGGTAACAATTATTTCTTTTTGGGGTTTCTTATATAGATACCTCGTGTTTACTGTCAAGTGTCAATTGTGGAAAGCATTTGTTTTTGTTTAATTGATCTCTACTTCATCTCCAACTATGATGTAAAATTTCCGATGCAATTTATTTGGGGATTTACCTTCTGTTTTGTTAAAACGATGATCACATAGTTTTCTGGCTGTTTTTCCAACTGTTATCAACTTAGGCGCAACTCTTTTTAGCTATTCACAATTTATTTAATTTTTTGCCTTAGTTCTTAAGAACAAATGTCATAATACCTTATGAAGTTTCCAACTTTTGTGGACCATTCTGATTAAACTTGGCTCTGTTAATGATGATGTTTGTTTGTCTTAAACAGAACCTTGAGAAAGTTGGGACTGCACTAAACGAGGACATGTATATAAATGATAGTTTATATGTGGCATGCTTTGTGAGTAATTGTGGTTTCTTATTGGTTCCTCTAACTTCAAAATTCTTGTTCCCTGCAGTCCGAAGGATACTCTTTGGACGGAGGTGAGACTATTCTCGAATTGAAGGTTTATTATTCAAAGAAAATGCTGACTGATGCAATTCATTGGGATTTTTTTTTATATGTTGATCATATGCCTAACCTACACAAGAAGAATAAGGATGTGAAAACCCTATTGCAATATTAATTAACGACTTGCATTCTTGGGAATATACATTTTTCCGCCTATTATGATTTGTTCTCTTTTGTTTTTTTTGGGTGGTTGTGATTATCATTCCTTATCCCAAATTGCTTTCTATAAATCTTGAACCAGTGTGGCCTTTCTATATACAGGGGACTTCTTTCACCATTCTTACAATTCTGGACCAAAATACTGGAACATTCATTGGCACATGCGGTAATAATGCTTGTGTGAGTGTTCGGTTGCACCAATAGCAATGTATCTTCCTTTTTCTTAATGTTTATCTCGAGTAAAATTTGTAAGATATCACCCTATTACACAGTTGACATGAAATTAATCTATGTGGGCAATCAGTACTTGGTTATGGCATGTGGTACACTAAAATGTGCTTCTAATGGAAAAGCTTGCAGAAGTAGTTTAGGCATGGCCCAACATGGACTTTTTTCTATTCTTTGTCTGCCTTTCAAACATCCATCCCCTACCCTTGGTCCTCATTTGTATTTAACATTATACTAATATATATTGTTTGCTTCCAGGTACTTTCAAGTTGACATGTCAATTTATAGAGGACTACCCGAATAAACCACCAACAGTGGAATTTATCTCCCAAATGTTTCATCCAAACAGTAAGTTGGAATTTAAACTACAGATTGTCATTTTTGTTATAATTTGTAATAATTAGTAACATTCAAGTTTATGATCATATATTCTTCTTTATATATCCTGAGTGAAGAGGCTCCAGTAGACTATTAGAGCTATCATTAAGAATCACATTTGCCAAGACTTGTGTCTTAGGTATTTATCCACTACCTGCTCATTTTAGTTAATCCATTGTGTATGTAGATTATGGTGTGTAGGATGGTTTATTTAAGTTGTTATGCTTGTTGGTGTGTGTCATGATTTATCAAGTCTGTCTTCCAATATCAAGGCTATCAGTCTTCTCTATTTAGACTTCCAAATATTTTTAGAAATCTACTGACCATTTATCGTGTTCCCTTATATTGCTTCTACATCAATTTCTGTGTTTTCCTGTTAGTACTACAACACTTGTGGCCTTTTATATTGAATCGAAATGAACCTCCAAAATTATGCCTTTTTTCTCAGTAGTAGGCATGTTGGAATTCTTTGGCGACACTAGCAACCTTGTTCGAAAATGCTTAAAATACCCCACATTTCAAATGTGTGGATAATATTAATGAGGTTGTGGAACACATGCTCTTTAGATGTGAATAGAGTCCAAGGGTTGATTTGTTGCATATATGGGGTACAACGTTAATTAATTTACTATTTATCGAAAAAAATAAAAATAATTAACAAGTGTTTAATTGGTGATGTTTACTTAAGTTCTAATTTTATGTTGCTATAACTTTTTGGATGAGCCTCTTGAAATCACTTACAGCTACTGGGATGGGGCAGGCCATAGGTGAGTGATCCAAGGAAAATGGTCATATTTGTGGTGTCTAGTTAGTCTCTCTCTTCTTTGTGTTTGTAGTAATTTTTTTATTTTTATTCTTCTTAACCTTTTTGTCTTCGCAATTCTGCAGGTTTAGTATCTCATGTTAGTAAAAGCGTTTCCATATGAGAGTTTCTTCGGGCTGTCCAGCAGCAACTTGCACCTACGTTTTGTGAGACCCGGACAACTTCAATGGAGAATTTGCTTTATGTGAAGAAAATCTTATCATTCCTCATGTAAGATAATCTTATAGTTCCTATTCAATTACATTTTTCATCAATAATGGTTGATTTGCACTAACTTGCATGTTTATGTTTTTTTTTTTTTTTTTGTTGTGGTTAATGGAATTTCAGCAACAAAGTTTGTATGAGCTGATTATTAACAAGGCTAGAGGAAAGGTGGACCAGTGTTATTTAAGGCGTAAAGCGAACCGAAGCGGCCAAGGCTCCTAACGCCTAGGCGAGAAGCGAGAAGCGAAGCGACACGCTTTACCGAAGCAAAGTGAACAGTTAAAAAAATATATATATTTTAGTTTAATTACTTCTAAACAATCTAAGTTCTAATTTTATATATACTAAATATTTAAATGCAAGTAAAACCATAAACATTTAAATTAAAAAAAACACTAATAATATCTCAAATCTTAATAACAGTCATAACTTAAACATTTAAATTCAAACAAATACTAACAATTGTATACATTTTCATATTGACAGGGTAGGACAACAAAAGAAGCAGAATAAGGACAACAACAGAATTAGCAATAAAAAAAAAAAAAGCAGAATGAGGATAAAAAAAAACAAAAGCAACACAGGACAACAAAACCGAAGCAGCAACAAAATCAACAAAAAAAAATAGAAGCAGAATGAGCTAAAAAAAAAAAACAGAAGCACAATGATCATGACAGGAGCAGAATCAATTGTAAACAATTTTATATGTAATTATATACTGAATAAAAAAAAGCAGAACATAGACACATTTTACATGTACTAAAATAATTAAACATGGTATAAGCATAGACCACTTTTTGGTACCATTTGTATATATATAAGAAAAGGGAAAAGTATAATCAAGACATATCAGAGACACTTTTTTGTAGAAGAATCTATTATTTACCCTCATTTCTGATACTCATGTTTCCTTTTTTTTATCATAATTGTCATGCAGTGCAGTCGCTTGACTCCCACATCCCACAAATATTCTAAATAAATTCAGCATAAGGAAAAAAAAGGAATGTGTTTTGTTCGAAACATTGTTTATTAGAAAAAAAAAATAGACTAGCAATAGTCTAAAAAAAAAGTCATTAGTGATTAAAAAATAAAAGAGACTACTAACCTGTAATCAGAAAAAAAAAAAAAAAAAGTGAAGCAGAATCGCTTTTTATAATAAAGCGTTCGCTTTTTCGCTCTTTTTCGTTTTTTTCTCGCTTCACTCACTTTCGCTTCGCCTGGGGTCCTCCAGGTGAGATAAGCTCGCCTCGTCTCGCTTCTCGCCTAGGCGAGCTTTTCAAAACACTGAGGTGGACTGGTAATGTTTAAATCCCTTGACTACTGCAGTTTGTAGATAGTTCACATCAATTTTTTTTTTTGCCTTGAGACTTTAAGAGGTGAAATCTATATATTCTCTCCATTTTATCTCTCTATTGGCAAAAACTTTATATACAAAATAGAATGTTCTTTAGATAATCTGTTTGGGTTTGTGGTCTGGATTCTATAATCATCTTAAGTGCTTGTAAAATTTGGAGATGCAGTCAGCATGTTTTTTTTTTTTTTGTCTTATGTTGGTATATACCCATTTTTATTTTTATCTTTGATAAATGATAACTTGCAAAAATGTCTATATTAGTTGTCTGTGATATGAAACTATCATTGTTGGGCTATTATGCAGTCCTTTTATTGATCTACAAGTAAATGCTTAGTACTTTCATGGGAAAGATTTCTACCAATGCTTAAAGAGTTTTTTCTCAATTTCACGAAATCCATAATTTTTGAAAATTACACAATTATTAGTTAGGTTTATTCTTTATTTTGTATTTTTCTTTAATTATGAATGTAATTACATACACTTATTTTCAGTTCAAAAACAATTTACCTTTTGTTTCATTTCAGGTCCTAGCCAAGGGGGATAATTGAGTAAGTATTGAATTGTTATGCTATTGGGACTCACACATCAAGCAAAGCATCGTACTATTGTTATGTTCCGAAAGGTAAGGATTGTATTGAAAATAAGTTATACATGAGCAAACAAAAGTACAACTAATATTGTCCAACAAAATAGAGAAGAAAGACCAGAATTTAGAGGGAAGTAAAGAGGATACTCAACACTTCCCTAAGAATTCAAGTCCTAAGGTTTTACAAAAATAGTCCTCAAAAGGAATTATGCTAAGCAGTTGAGAGCAAGATCCCAAAGATGCACCATCCTAAGATTCTGGGTGGAGTACTTGAATTTAGTAGACATGAGTTTGTCCTTGATTGCTTGTTTGATGACTTGAATTAAAGAGTTGTGATCCCTGAATTGGATAGAGAACACTCTGAAGTTCCTCTCCATCCATATATGATAAACCGTAGAAACAAGGCTAAACTTAAGGATGACAGAGAGCATATATTTTCCCCTCTAATTGATAGCAACCCAATTAATGAAGGAGTGTCAAGGAGAAGGAGACCACTGAGTTTGGCTGCTAGTGAGAATGGATCTCCAAACACCATGGAGAAGGTGCACTCAAAAAAGAGATAAGCATGAGACTCGGGGAATTGTTTGCAAAGGATGCATCCTAAATCCACTTGATTGGCAAGAGAATGAGCTTTGTCTTTGGTATATAATCTTTGCCTAATGGCTAGCCATAAAATAAAGCTCATCCTGGGAATGAGATGTGTGTGCCAAAAAAAGCTTCGACCAAGGAATTTTCTGACCAGTTTCTCTGATGTAGTGCCAAGCAAAAGTGGTAGAAAATCGACAATTTGCAGTGAGAGACCATAGGACTTTGTCATCAGCAAGATGGTTGGGGGAATAAGTAGACATAGAATCAACAATCCTGGCCAAAGCAGGAGAAGAGGCGTTGGGCTAGCATCATTGAGACCTAGAGATGATGCAGCTAAAGTTGGATCTCATGGTGAAAGCAGAGGCAAGCATGGGCAGAATTCCAATCCTTGAGTCTCTTAATGCTCAATCCACCTCATCCTTAAGTTTGCATACCTCAGTCCATGCCACTTTAGCTCCAGTTTTTTCAAATCAACCCCCTTCCATAAGAACGCCCTCATGAGCTTTTCAATTTTGTCGATTACTAATTGCGGAAAAGCAAGATGGGAAGACCAGAAGACTTGAATGGAGCTAATGATAGAAGTCACAAGTTGAAGCCTACCAGCATACAATAGCAATCGATTAGTCCAGGTTCTAATTCTCATTCTGATTCTCTCCACAAGACCTTTACAGTGTTGTTTTTTGAGTCTAGATGCGATGAGAGGAATGCCCAAATACGTTACTAGGAGGTCCCCTTTTGACAGGCCCATAAGTTGAGAGATTTGGGATTTGACATGAGGTTGAGTTCCATAGTGATAGATATAACTTTTTCCCTGGTTAATCTGCAATCCATAAATGGCTTGAAACTGTTGCATTAAAAGATGGAGGACCTTAACAGACGCAAGGTCACCATGACTGAACATCAGAAGATCATCAGCAAAGGCAAGGTGGCTGAGATTGATTTTCTTGCATCTCTAATGAAACTTAAGGATGGAGAGAGATGTTCTTTTGTACAATAAGGGTAAGCACCTCCATTGCAATGACAAATAAGTAAGGAGACATGGAATCCCCTTGTCTGACTCTCCTTTTGCTAGGAAAGAAACCAGTAAGTTCACCATTAATACAGACAGAGAATCTTGGAGATGATAAGCAAGCAAGAATCCACGTCCTCAACTTGCAAGGAAAATTAAAAGCTTCAAGAGTCTCTAGTAAGAAGTTCCAGTCAAGGGAGTCAAATGTTTTTATGAGATCAATTTTGATGGCACATCTTGGTGAACCTTTGTCATTATGGTAGTTCCTTAAAAGCTCTTGGGCTAAAAGAATGTTATCCCCTATACTTCTTCCTTGAATGAATGCAACTTGGTTTGTATTGATAATATCAAGTAAAATTCTTTTGATTCTAGAAGCAATAATTTTGGAAATAACCTTGTAAATGGTGTTACAACAAGAAATAGGTCTATACTCACTCATGATGCTAGGGTTGGGAATTTTGGGGACAAGGGCCAGAATGGTGGTATTAAGCTCTTTGAGGAGTTTTCTAGTAGTAAAGAATTCCTGAATAGCAGCACATACAAGATCCCCAATAATAGGCCAAGATTTTTTAAAAAAGTATGATTGTAACCATCAGGCCTAGGAGCTTTCATATCCTTGAGGGAGAAGAGAGTATTCTTAATTTCATCATAAATAACCTTTAGTTCCATTTCAGCAGTTTGTGTATCAGTGAGTTTTTTTTGTACTATCTCAAAAAGCATTACTCTTCTTTCATTGGATGAATAGGAAGGGCCACTTGAGCCCGAGAGCCTTTGGAAAAAATCAACTGCCTCATCTTTGACCTCCTATACACCTTCAGCAGTTGAGCCATCCATTCTTTTCAAGGATAGAATCTTTTTTCTGTTTCGCTTGTCAACCATAGATTTGAAGAAAAAGGAGGTATTTAGATCCTCTTCATTCAACCATTGTATCCTAGATTTTCGTTTTATGACAATCTCTTCATTCCTAGTAGCCTCAAGGTATTTAGAAAGGAGGTGTCTCTCTTCCAATCTAATATTAAGATCAATTTGACTGACATCCAGTTTGGCTTGACAAATTTCAAGGGTAGATTTGGCTTCATTGGCCCTAGTAGATGTTTCCCCTAATTCTTTGCTTTTACCTTTAAGTATAGCCTTTAATCTCTTGAGCCTGCAACATAATTGGAATTGAAATGATCCATTATCCCAAACACCCCGGGCTTGATTGACCATCTCAAGAAAGTTAGTTCTATCTACCAAGTAATTAAAAAATTTGAAAGGAGTTCTCTTTTTTATGATTTCTTCCCCAATTTTGACCACAACAAGACTGTGATCAGAAACTCAAGGTGCTAAAAATTCTGCACTTAACTGTTGGATCATATTGT